CTCCTGACTAGCGCAGGCTGCTGTCGTTCACGATATCATGTTCAAGCGCATCATCAAGCTACAGGTCCTCCCCCTCCCCTTCCTCCCTGCCTCCTCCTCCTCCCTCCCCCCCCCCCTCCTCCTCCTCCTCCTCCTCTTCACTCATTTCATTCCTCATCTGCGTCCTCCTCATTCTCCTCACTTATCTCAGGAGTCTTCCGAGCTTGAATCCAACGGCCTCTCGAAGGTCAGTTGCCCTCCACCACCAGCAGCACCACTACCTCCTCCTCCACCTCCTCCTACGCCTCCTCCTCCTCCTCCGCTTTGCTGCCTCTTCTGCCTTTGACATGGTTCTGGTTGGCGCAGGATGAGAGCCTGGTGTCCCTCGCATCTCTCTCCGGCATACTCGGTCCGTCTATGAGTAGGAGAGAGAGGAGGAGCGAGGAGGAGAGAGGAGGAGAGAGGAGGAGGGAGAGAGTAGTGAAGAGAAGCAGAGCGTGCGAAGTACAGAGCACAAGTCAAAGGGGATCAGGCGAGAAGTTAAGGAATGGAGGGAGAGGAGGGGAACAAGTTTGAGCATCTGACGCCTGGCAGGAGAGATCACGACTAGCAACGTCGAGGCCGAGCGGATGCGGGTCATGTTGGCAGGTGAGGAGGGAGGAACGAGGATCACAGAGGGATCAAGATCAGGAGAGAAGGGAGAGTGAGAGGAGGGCAGAGGAGGGAGAGAAAGAGGCAGAGAGAGAGATAAGTGGAGAAGAGGAAAGGAGAAGAGGAAAACAGAGGAGGGGAAGGGAGGGGAGGGCACAGAGGCAAGGAATGAGGAGGGATAGCGTGTGCATACAAGAGGACAAGGAGGGGTGAAGGAGGGGAGGCAGGGCAGAGGAAGAGAGGAGCTGAAGCTTCAGCAGACATCGAGAAGGCGATAGTGGATCACAAGCTCGGTATCGATCATCGTGCCAACGGATTTCTCAATTCTCGGAACGCAGGTGAAAACTCCGCCCTCTCCCTCCCTTTCCCCTCCCTTCCCTCCCTCTTTCCATTCCTCTGATTTCTGCCTTGTATGATTTCCTACATCCTCTCCCCATGTCCTCTTCGTTCCTCCTCTCTCCTCTCTCCTCTCTCCTCACTTCGCACAGGGTCTCAGCTTGCCCGCGTCCAGCGGCAGGTGCAGCACAATACTCTCTTCGGGTTGATGACGAGGTGAGATGTACTCCTCTCTCTCCCTCTTCCCTCTTCCCTCCTCTCTCTCCTTCTCCCCTCCTCTTTCTCGCCTCTCCGTCTCTTCGTTCTCTCCTTCTTGCAATCCTCTCCGTGTTTCCTTCCTCCCCTCATTCCTTTCCTTTTGTTCCCTTTCCTCTTCCTCTCCCTCTCCCGCTCCCTTTCCTCGCCTCTCCTCCGCTCCTCTTCCTCTCATCCAAGTCTGCTCCGTCCTCATAAACCTGAAGTCTGCGACTCAGCCGTCTGTCCGACGCTAAAGCAGCTGTGACCTCGAAAGAATAAAGACGCAACGAGCACGAGCGATGGATACAACAGTTCAAGTTCAAGAGGAGGATAGAGGAGGAGGGAGGGAAAATTAGTGAGAGCGAGAACTGGACAGCGAGGGAAGAGGAGAGTAGTTTGAAAGCTGCCACCTTTGAAAGTGGTAAAGCATCAAGATGCCAGCTCAAAAAAAGGAAGCAACTGCTTCCAGGTTCGTCATTTTCTTTTCTCCTGCAAACATGTTCAGTCTCCGTCAAGTTCGAAATGACAACTCACCAGTTCTTCTTTCATCGCAACAGCATCCGACAGCTTCTTCTGCTTGTTTCAGTTACACAACGGCAACGACAACCTTCGGCAGGGAGATTCAATGCCATCGAGTCCATTGTGCTGATTGTAACGAGACGGTCCAACATAAATGTACGAGACTCCTCTTTCCCCTTCCCGCTTCCTCCTCTTTCCCCTCCACTTGCCCCATCCCTCTCCCCTCCAGACTTCCCTCTGTTTTTCCCAAAACTGCCCTGACTGCACGAAAGTCACCGGACACATCTGCAAGTTGCCTTGGCTCCGTCGCGTGATCCCCTCGTTCCTCCTGATCTTCATTCCCTTCGCTATCCTGCCTCCTTTCTCCTTTTCCCGCGTCGGTCGTCGTCGTCGGTCGGTCGTTGGATGCCCCCGTCTTCCCTCTCGCTGCGTCGACTTGCCGGACGTGACGTGACGTTGCCCGGCGCTTGGGTCTCTCGTCCCATGTTTGCTCTGCGCACATCCACACTCAGCCTCGACAAGCTCGCAGGAAAACATCCTCACCTTTCACATCATACACGACGTAGTGCGCGACGCCCCCGGACCTGTCGCACCGAGAAAGACGCTCGTAAGAATCACCTCGTACCTCGCACAATGCATCTCACCTCACGCTGATGCTACTTCGCCTCTGCCTTGGCCACGCCTTCCCGGTTCCTGAAAGCAGCATCATTCCCTCCCCCTCAAGCAGTCCACTGCCAATCATTACCTCCGTAGGGTACAAAGCTCTCTTTCTGTCTTGGCCCGTCCTCGTTGCAACCTGCGTGACTTTCAATCACCCTTCCCTCCAAGCAGTCTGCTGTATATCACCCACCTTCAACACTTCCCAGCCTTGTTTCGCTGACGCGCTCTGAAAACAAAAACAAACCCCGTTGTCCTCTTGACTGTCCTGACCAGCGATACTGCCCATTGCTACATCCCCACATTGTACTATTTCCTCACTGCCAGTTGCCAACAAACTTGCACGATTCCACATCCCCTTGACTAAGTGCCATTGATATCCTGGACTGACTGATTGTACTGACTGGCTCACTGACCTCGCTTGCTCATTCCATGATCCTCCTCCAAGTTACCGTACACAACGAAAGCATCGATGAACCTTGACCTCGGCGCTGCACGAAAGTCACCGGACACATCTGCAAGTTGCCTTCTCCGTCATGTCGAGCCCTGTCGCCTCCTGGTTTGCTTGGTCTTTCCTTTCCCTCCTCTTTCCCCTTCCCGCTTCCTCCTCTTTCCCCTCCACTTGCCCCATCCCTCTCCCCTCCAGACTTCCCTCTGTCTCTGCATCGACCTCTCTGCGGTACTGCACGAAAGTCACCGGACACATCTGCAAGTTGCCTTGGCTCCGTCGCGTGATCCCCTCGTTCCTCCTGATCTTCATTCCCTTCGCTATCCTGCCTCCTTTCTCCTTTTCCCGCGTCGGTCGTCGTCGTCGGTCGGTCGTTGGATGCCCCCGTCTTCCCTCTCGCTGCGTCGACTTGCCGGACGTGACGTGACGTTGCCCGGCGCTTGGGTCTCTCGTCCCATGTTTGCTCTGCGCACATCCACACTCAGCCTCGACAAGCTCGCAGCAAAACATCCTCACCTTTCACATCATACACGACGTAGTGCGCGACGCCCCCGGACCTGTCGCACCGAGAAAGACGCTCGTAAGAATCACCTCGTACCTCGCACAATGCATCTCACCTCACGCTGATGCTACTTCGCCTCTGCCTTGGCCACGCCTTCCCGGTTCCTGAAAGCAGCATCATTCCCTCCCCCTCAAGCAGTCCACTGCCAATCATTACCTCCGTAGGGTACAAAGCTCTCTTTCTGTCTTGGCCCGTCCTCGTTGCAACCTGCGTGACTTTCAATCACCCTTCCCTCCAAGCAGTCTGCTGTATATCACCCACCTTCAACACTTCCCAGCCTTGTTTCGCTGACGCGCTCTGAAAACAAAAACAAACCCCGTTGTCCTCTTGACTGTCCTGACCAGCGATACTGCCCATTGCTACATTCCCACATTGTACTATTTCCTCACTGCCAGTTGCCAACAAACTTGCACGATTCCACATCCCCTTGACTAAGTGCCATTGATATCCTGGACTGACTGATTGTACTGACTGGCTCACTGACCTCGCTTGCTCATTCCATGATCCTCCTCCAAGTTACCGTACACAACGAAAGCATCGATGAACCTTGACCTCGGCGCTGCACGAAAGTCACCGGACACATCTGCAAGTTGCCTTCTCCGTCATGTCGAGCCCTGTCGCCTCCTGGTTTGCTTGGTCTTTCCTTTCCCTCCTCTTTCCCCTTCCCGCTTCCTCCTCTTTCCCCTCCACTTGCCCCATCCCTCTCCCCTCCAGACTTCCCTCTGTCTCTGCATCGGCCTCTCTGCGGTACTGCACGAAAGTCACCGGACACATCTGCAAGTTGCCTTGGCTCCGTCGCGTGATCCCCTCGTTCCTCCTGATCTTCATTCCCTTCGCTATCCTGCCTCCTTTCTCCTTTTCCCGCGTCGGTCGTCGTCGTCGGTCGGTCGTTGGATGCCCCCGTCTTCCCTCTCGCTGCGTCGACTTGCCGGACGTGACGTGACGTTGCCCGGCGCTTGGGTCTCTCGTCCCATGTTTGCTCTGCGCACATCCACACTCAGCCTCGACAAGCTCGCAGCAAAACATCCTCACCTTTCACATCATACACGACGTAGTGCGCGACGCCCCCGGACCTGTCGCACCGAGAAAGACGCTCGTAAGAATCACCTCGTACCTCGCACAATGCATCTCACCTCACGCTGATGCTACTTCGCCTCTGCCTTGGCCACGCCTTCCCGGTTCCTGAAAGCAGCATCATTCCCTCCCCCTCAAGCAGTCCACTGCCAATCATTACCTCCGTAGGGTACAAAGCTCTCTTTCTGTCTTGGCCCGTCCTCGTTGCAACCTGCGTGACTTTCAATCACCCTTCCCTCCAAGCAGTCTGCTGTATATCACCCACCTTCAACACTTCCCAGCCTTGTTTCGCTGACGCGCTCTGAAAACAAAAACAAACCCCGTTGTCCTCTTGACTGTCCTGACCAGCGATACTGCCCATTGCTACATCCCCACATTGTACTATTTCCTCACTGCCAGTTGCCAACAAACTTGCACGATTCCACATCCCCTTGACTAAGTGCCATTGATATCCTGGACTGAC